TGTGCCCAGGTGTGCCCAGGTGTGCCTCACCTCCGGCCTGTGCCAGGGCGGGGTCGGCCTGCACGGCCACCGCCCCCTCCCCCGCCCAGGTGAGCCGGGGCTCGGCCCCGCCCTCGCCGGGGCTGCCGCCGTTGCTGAAGGGGTTCTGCAGCACCTGCGGGCAGCGGCACCTGAGCGGGCACCTGGGCACGCCCGGGAGCTCCGATCCCACCGAGAGCCCACCTGGGAGCCCAAACCCACCTGAGAGCCCACCTGGAACCCACCTGAGATACCAAACCCACCTGAGATCCCAAATCCCACCTGAGATCCCAAACCCAACCCAGAACCCACCTGGGACCCACCTGAGATCCCAAACCCACCTGGGATCCCAAATCCCACCTGAGAACCACCTGAGATCCCAAACTCACCGGAAATCCCAAACCCACCTGAGATCCCAAACCCCACCTGAGATCCCAAACCCACCGGAGATCCCAAATCCCAACTGGAACCCACCTGAGATCCCAAACCCACCTGAGATCCCAAACCCCACCCAGAACCCACCTGAGATCCCAAATCCCACCTGAGATCCCACCTGGAACCCACCTGAGATCCCAAACCCACCTGAGATCCCAAACCCCACCCAGAACCCACCTGAGATCCCAAATCCCACCTGGAACCCACCTGGAACCCACCTGGGATCCCAAACCCACCTGAGATCCCACCTGGGAGCCCAAACCCCACCCAGAACCCACCTGGGACCCACCTGAGATCCCAAATCCCACCTGAGATCCCACCTGGGACCCACCTGAGATCCCAAACCCAACCCAGAACCCACCTGGGACCCACCTGAGATCCCAAATCCCACCTGGGATCCACCTGAGATCCCAAACCCACCTGAGAGCCCAAATCCCACCTGAGATCCCAAACCCCACCTGAGAGCCCACCTGGGATCCCAAACCCACCTGAGATCCCAAACCCCACCCAGAACCCACCTGGGACCCACCTGAGATCCCACCTGGAACCCACCGGAGATCCCAAACCCCAGCCAGAACCCACCTGAGATCCCAAACCCCACCTGAGATCCCACCTGGGACCCACCTGAGATCCCAAACCCCACCTGAGATCCCAAACCCAGCTGAGATCCCACCTGGAACCCACCTGAGATCCCAAATCCCACCTGGGACCCCCAACCCACCTGAGATCCCACCTGGGACCCACCTGAGATCCCACCTGGAACCCACCTGAGATCCCAAATCCCACCTGGGACCCACCTGGGATCCCAAACCCAACCCAGAACCCACCTGAGATCCCAAATCCCACCTGAGATCCCACCTGGGATCCCAAACCCCACCTGAGATCCCAAACCCCACCTGAGATCCCACCTGGAACCCACCTGAGATCCCAAATCCCACCTGCGAACCCCCAACCCCCACCTGGACCCCCCCAGGTGCCCCCGGGCGGTGCCCAGGTGTGCCCGGCTCACCTGGGGGGTCCCGGCGAAGGAGGAGACGACGCCGACGGCCTCGGGGGCATCGAGCGGCGCCTCGGTCACCTGCACCACCCGGTAGGTCACCTGGGGACAGGGCACGGGCACACCTGGCACACCTGGGCACACCTGGGTGGGTTTGGAACCTCACCTGGGCACACCTGGCACACCTGGGTGGGTTTGGAGCCTCACCTGGGCACACCTGGCACACCTGGGCACACCTGGGTGGGCATGGAGCCTCACCTGGGCACACCTGGCACACCTGGGTGGGCATGGAGCCTCACCTGGGCACACCTGGGCACACCTGGGTGGGTTTGGAACCTCACCTGGGCACACCTGGCACACCTGGCACACCTGGGTGGGTTTGGAACCTCACCTGGGCGCACCTGGGCACACCTGGGTGGGTTTGGAACCTCACCTGGGCACACCTGGGTGGGCATGGAGCCTCACCTGGGCACACCTGGCTGGGTCTGGAACCTCACCTGGGCACACCTGGGCACACCTGGGTGGGTTTGGAACCTCACCTGGGCACACCTGGGTGGGCATGGAGCCTCACCTGGCACACCTGGGCACACCTGGGTGGGTTTCGAACCCCACCTGGCACACCTGGGTGGGCATGGAGCCTCACCTGGGCACACCTGGGTGGGCATGGAGCCTCACCTGGCACACCTGGGTGGGTTTGGAACCTCACCTGGGCACACCTGGGTGGGCATGGAGCCTCACCTGGTGCACCTGAGTGGGTTTGGAACCTCACCTGGGCACACCTGGGTGGGCAGGGACAACCCCATGCCCCACCCTAGGGACTCTCCAGGTGCCCCCAGGTGTGCCCAGGTGTGCCCAAGTGTTCTCAGGTGCCCCCAGGTGCCCCCAGGTGTGCCCAGGTGTGCCCAGGTGCACCCAAATTCCCAATTTCCCCCAAATTTTCTCAATTTCCCCCCAAATTTTTGCCTTTTCCCCCCATTTGCCCTCCCCCAGGTGTGCCCAGGTGCCCCCAGGTGTGCCCAGGTGTGCCCAAACTTCCCAATTTTCCTCAGTTTCCCCCCAATTTTCCCCCAGTTTTCCCAATTTTTCCATTTCTCCCACCCAGTTGTGCCCAGGTGTGCCCAGGTGCCCCCAGGTGCCCCCCAGGTGCCCCCAGGTGTGCCCAGGCACCCCCAGGTGCCCCCAGGTGCCCCAGCTGTGCCCAGGTGTGCCCAAAACCCCCAATTTTCCTCAGTTTCCCCCCAATTTTTCCCCATTTCTCCCACTCAGGTGCCCCCAGGTGAGTTCCCAGGTGCCCCCAGCTATGCCCAGGTGCCCCCAGGTGAGTTCCCAGGTGCCCCCAGCTATGCCCAGGTGCCCCCAGGTGTGCCCAGGTGTGCCCAGGTGAGTTCCCAGGTGCCCCCAGCTGTGCCCAGGTGTGCCCAGGTGCCCCCAGGTGTGCCCAGGTGAGTTCCCAGGTGTGCCCAGGTGCCCCCAGGT